TCATGTAAACTCGGGCTTAGCTGTCACTCTGTGGAAGTGGCTACAAGGCTGCTGCTGCTGATGGGAGACTAGTCCGTGCTTATTATTGCAAGTCGCAGCTGTCTTGTGTTTTCAAAGTGGGGTTTCCTTCATCAAGATAATGTCAATTTACTGACAAAATGAAATTTGCAGGCCGCCCAGACGGGAAGCGGGAAGTGAGAGTGAACTGCCCACAGGAACGCACACAGGAGAGAAAGTCTCCCTGCCCTCGGAAGCTAAGCCAGGTTCCAGGCACGACGACCAGCTGCTCTAAGTTGGAAAGAGCCAGACGTTCCGCTCCCTCCCACTTTCTGAGAGAGCCAGCGAGGGCTGAGCAGCCTATGGGCTTGGGAAAATAAGAAGCAAAGAGGAAAGGGTGTAGAAGAAGGTGGTTAAAAATAAAACTTATCAGATGAGAATTGGGTCCTGAGAATGTTATCTCTCCCCACAGGAGGTTAAAAAAAAAACAAAAAAAAAAAAAACAGGCATGTCCAGGAGAACACACGCCACAGGATGAATAAGCATAAAAATAGGAGGAAATGACCGAGCAAACGTGCCAAACACCCCAGAGGAGGACCCTTCTGGAAGTGCTGACTGTCCAGGGCGGCTCAGCTCCGCCCCCTCCTAAGAATTTTAGTCAAGGCCAAAAACCCTGGCTAAGAGGCTGTTGTTTCTGGGAGAGACAGAGAGAGAGAGGTTTTTTTCCCTCAATACCTTTTCAAACTGTTTACATTTCTTTCCCCATGTGCATGTATTACCTCTTCCAAAAAGAATGACTGTTTATGGGAAAGGTTCTTAGAAAATTCCTACTCCCAGCATTCCATGGCAAGTAGTCTAGTCTCTCCAGAAATTTTTCCAAATCCAGATAGTCAGTGAACACTTACGTCCTTCCCCATCTGCTTGCTACTCCGCTCCCCTCACCTGCACCAGCCCTTGCCCCTGCCCTGAAGAGGAACAGCTCCAGGTGGCTTCTCTGACAGTTGTCAACTCGACCTACTCCCAAAGCCCTCTTCAAAACGAGCACTCACACCCTGTTCCCTTTTAAGTCCCATTTTCCCAGAAGCCCTCAAATGATAAATGTTCCTTCTATACCTTAATCTCAAATCACCCTTTACCTCTTTGTACACCATGCATCAGTCATAAGGGATATGTGGTTTTCCCTCAAGAAAGAGGCACAAAACAAAGACTACAGACATACCTCATTTTATTGTACTTCACTTCACCGCACTTCACAGATATTGCCTTTTTTTTTTTTTTTTTGCAAATTGAGATTTGTGGCAAACCTGTGTCGAGCAAATCTATTGGTATCATTTTTCCAACACCAGGTGTTCACTTCATGTCTGTCACATTTTGGTAATTCTTAGAACTATTTCAAAGTTTTGCATTATTATTATATCTGTTTTGGTGATCCATGATCACCAAAATCCCAATCCCAAAATTGTTTTGGGATGCTATGAACCACGCTGTAAGAGACAGCAAACTTAATTGATAAATATTGTTTGTGTTCTAGCTACTCGCTGACCAGCTATTCCCTTCTTATGGCCTTCCTATTCCCAGAGACAAAACAATATTGAAATTAGACCAATTAATAACCAAACAATGGCCCCTAAGTGTTCAAATGAAAGGAAGAGTTACACAGTTCTCACTGCAAGTCAAAAACTAGAAGCTTAGTGTGGAAGGCATGTCGAAAGCCAAGATAGGCCTCTTGCACCAAGTTGCAAACACAAAAGAAAAGTTCTTAAAGAAAATTAAAAATGCTTCTCCAGTGAACACATAAATAATAAGAAAGCAAAACAGCAAGGCCCTAACTTTTTCAATTTGATGAAGGCTGAGAGAGGTGACAAAGCTGAAGAAAAGTTGGAAGCTAGCTGAGGTTGGTTTATGAGGTTTAAGGAAAGACGCCATCTCCATAACATAAAGTGCAAGGTGAAGCAGCATGTGCTGATGCAGAAGCTACAGCAAGTTATCCAGATCTGGCTAAGAAAATCGATGAAGGTGGCTACACTAAACAAGAGATTTTCACTGTAGACAAAACAACCTATACTGGAAGATGTATCTGGGACTTTCATAGCTAAAGAAGAGAAGTCAATGCCTGGCTTCAAAGCATCAAAGGACAGGCCGCCTCTCTTGTTAGGGCTAATGCAGCTGGTGACTTTAAGTAAAACCAATGCTCTTTGCCATTCTGAAAATCCTAGATCTCTTAAGAATTATGTGAAATCTACTCTGCATGTGCTGTATAAATGAACAGCAAAGCCTGAATGACAGTGTATCTGTTTATAGCATGGTTTACTGAATATTTTAAGCCTACTATTGACACCAACTGCTCAGAAAAAAAGAGATTCCTTTCAAATATTACTACTCAGTGGTAATTCATCTGGTCACCCAAGAGCTCTGATGGAGATGCACGAGGTTAATGTTGCTTTCCTGCTGGCTAACACAACATCCATTCTGCAGTCCATGGATCAAAGAGTAATTTTGACTTTCAAGTCTTATTATTTAAGAAATATATTTCATAAAGCTATAGCTTCCATAGATAGCAATTCCTGTTGCAGATCTGGGCAAAGTAAATTGAAAATCTCCCAGAAAAGATTTGCCATTCTAGATGCCACTAAGAACATTTGAGATTCATGAAAGGTCAAAATATCAACATTAACAGGAGTTTGTTAGAAGTTGGTTCCAACCCTCATGGATGATTTTGAGAGGTTCAAGATTTTTTCAGAGCAGGAAGTAAGTGCAGATGTGGTAGACATAGCAATAGAACTAGATTTAGAAATGGAGCCTGCAGACAACACTGGATTATTTCAACTTCATGAAAAAAATCTTGAAAGGATAAGGAGTTGCTTCTTACGGATGAGCAAAGAGTAGTTTCTTGAGATGGCATCTACTTCTGGTGAAGAGACTACGAACATTGTTGAAATAACAACAAAGGATTTAGGATATTCCACAAACCTTATTGATAAAGCATAGCAGTGTTTGAGAGGATTGAGTCCAATTTTGAAAGAAGTTCTACTGTGGGTAAAATGCTATCAAACATCATCATGTGCTACAGAGAAATCTTTCATGAAAGCAGAGTCACTTGATGCAGCAAACTTCATTGTCTTTTTTTAAGCCACCCAACCTTCAGTACCCACCAGCCTGATCAGCCAGGAGCCATCAATCAAGGAAAGACCCTTCACCAGCAAAACAATTATGATTTGCTGAAGGCTCAGATGACAGGTGGCAATTTTTAATAGTAAGGTACTTTTTATTAAGGTATGTACTTCTTTTTAGACAATGCTAGTACACAACTGATGGACTACAGTATAAACATAACTTTTATATGAACTGAGAAACCAAAAAATTTATGTGACTCGCTTTATTGTGATATTTGCTTTATTTCAATGGTCTGAAACCAAACTGGCAATATCTCCAAGGTATGCCTGTACTTGTCAAATTAATTTTTAATGACCCAGTGTTTATCTACTCCTAAAATAATGGATTTCACTCAACTGCTCTTAGATCTGTTTGCAAAACTGTAACAATAAAACACAACAGCCATTATCTATCTGAGATGTTTTTCTACCTAAAAAAAAATACATCACAAAATGGCCTTTATAAATTATCTGAGAAAGTTTGGCATTTGGGAGCATAAGCAGCAAGTACTTCCAGAAAAGCTGACTTTTCTAAGTGTTAAGGTTATCAAAGATCAAACAAACAAGATATAAGAAAAAAAAAATTGGTGCTTTATCAACACTCATCATCTTTCATAATATTTAAGTAAGCCAAAGAGCTGTGTGTTTTAAAGGAATTAAAGTGGCATCTTTCTACAGAACATCTTTAAAAGATTAGGTAGAAATGGCCCAAGTGCCTCTGAGAATCAAAACTGTTTGTAAATTTCCACTCAGTGTCACTCAGAGATGATAAAAGTACACCGTGGACTTATCAGATAGAGAACTGTCAGTAACAGAAAGCTGCTGACAACTCTGCCTCAAGCCCAAGCTGGGAAGTTAGGTGTATCTAAAAGAAAAGGAAATGTTTTCTTTCCTCCCCCCAAGCGCATCTGACATGGGAACATGAGGGCAGCATCTTTGTCTGGTACCTAAATGTCCCAGCATGCTGTGGCTTAATGGGAGGCCTTCAAATTGTACCCAGGAAATCTCAATTCATTTCACTTCTGAATGGCCCGTGACACTCAACTGATGTATAGGTGAGGGCAAAGCCAGACTGCCCATGCCCAGCATTAGCATAAGAGGCCAGCGTTGGACATAAACCCAAAAGTCCTCCACAAGCCTGTGAAGCATATGGGAAAGATGCCATTGCAAAGTCAAGGGAGAATTCAGCCAGGAAGCTAGTATTTTCTGCTTGTGTGGTTTTTGTGGAATACCTGACACTCCTTTAGGATGCTGTGCATTGACTCTCTTGTTATTATAACCATAATGTCATGTAAAAATTTCGAGCAGCAGGCATTTAAAGCTCCTTTCTGCCAGCTCCACTCATTCCTGCTCTTTTGTGCATCATTTCCTCTGCAGGAAGGAGATACCAAAGACAACAAACACTGAAGAGCCGGAAGTCTTAAGTCAAATCCTGGTGTGCTACTCCATCACTGTGTAACCTTGCCCAGGCCGCCTAACACTTCTGGGTACATTTCCTCAGCTGGGAGAGAGGAAGAGATGTCTCACAGTGGTTGCAAAGAATAAACATGTCAGAGCACGTAGCACAGGCGCTGGAATATAGGTATTCTCTGAGTACGTACAGTCATCTTCCCCATTGTTCTCAGTTTCTTTACATCATGACTCTTTAACCTCTGACCCTGGCCTTGCAAATCTAGAGGTAAACCATGGTAAATCCAGCCTCTTAAAGGACCTAACCTATCAACACAGCAACAGTGAGCGAGCAGCATATTAAAAACCACATTTGCATGGTGGTAGACTGGGTCTGAAAGTAGACTAGGTCTTTAATACAAACCTGTCTATATTATCCAAAAAAGTACAACTATAGACAGCTTCATTTGAAAAGAACTGTTTATTTTTCCACTCTGTTCTGACAATAATCTTTAACCACCTCACAAACCAGTATTCTTCTCATATCATTCAAAAGATTCAAGACTGAAGCTAAGTCAATTTTATATTATTTTTAATGAAAATAACTTTACTAAGAATATCCCTTGTGCTTATCCTCCTAGCCGATCAAATATAAAAGTACCTGACATGTCCAAACTCCTGTCTTAAACAAACTGCTGACCCAGCGTGGCATTTCCCACCATTGCTATCCAAAACACAGGAAATTTCAAGGCTGAATGGCTAAAAGAGTTAGGATAACCCTGCCTCTAAAAACCCTGAAAAACAAAATCATGTCTGAATGGATAATTCATGATTCAGACAGTCCAGCATTTAAATGGTATTAACTACTCTACTAAAAAATCTATTTAATGCACTTAGGTAGGACTTTTTATTTCCATGAAATTGGATCTTTGGTTCAAAATTTAATCTCCTACCAAGGACTCTGAACTATATAGGTGACATAACGGTGAGATAGGCTCTTAACATTTCATTGCCAGGAATATAAATGAAATTGATCAGATTATTTGCCAAATGTTTCTTCAGCAGGGCTAAGTCTTCCCCTAAATGACTGTCAAAGAGAGGAGCAAAAAGCAGACACAGAGTATTAAAGTTGTATTTTCCATCTTAATCTTCCAGGACTCAAATTCAGGCATGTAAAATCAGTGTGTGTAAAAAATTGATTTGTTATATAGTTTGTTAGATTATAGGACCTTTGTTTGGGAAGAATAAACAAGGCCTAAGTGGTCAGATCTCTTGACAAGTCATAAAATGAAAGATATAAGACATAGGAACTATATATTATAATATTCCTTCTGAATATTGTATCATTCTTATGACATAAGTAATCATGGAAAAAAGTTACAATTTTACAGAATATAAAATTCCTAACAATCTTCCTTCTTTCTCTATTATTGAAGTTTTTCAAAATGTTCCAAAGAAGGAATGTACTCTTCCCTACCTGAAGTTACTCTTATTTTACTCCTATGGTCCTAGGATACAAAAGGGCAGAAATATTGTTTGTTCAAATTTCAGATTCATAGTGGTCAGTGAATGACGTATTCATAGGTAAACAAATATAAAATGACACTATGACCAAAGCTTTCTAAAACTCATAGCCTACATTCATAAGTCAACAATGTTAGAAAGATATGTGTAAAAATCACAGCGAGTCCTTCCTGCCAAATACGGAGGAAATGAATCAAACCATGAGAATGCTAACGTAGGAGATCGAGTTTATTCAAAAAGTATTTACTGAGCCCTTACTATGTGCTAGGCACTATTTTAGGTGCTGGGAATATATTGCATTGATTAAAAACATACAAAATCCCTGTCTTCATTGTGCTTATACTCTAGCAGAAGGATACAAGACAATAAACATAATAAATAAGTAAATTACATAGTAAGTTAGAAGGTGATAAGTACTATGATACAACAAAATAGAGCAGTTGTGAGAATGAATGACAAGTTTTATCTGAAAATTTTCCAAAACCAGAAGAGGAAGAATTAAACTTCTATCTTGGAAAGTCTGTCTTTCTACATATATATATGTATATATGTATGTGTATACACATAGCAAAAGAACGTATTTCTGGCTCTTTAATGTTCATGGGATTTTCAAGCAAGAAATCAAAGGGATTTAAAAAAATGAAAGTAAAACTGAAAGCTTGGAACGGTAATTTTCATAAAATAAGTTTTTTAATACAGAGTTCTTGAAGCAGCGGAATCCCTGCGTACTGCTGCAGTAGAGTGCAGTGGTAGAATATTCCACAGTTCTACAATTCCACGATTCTGGTCACACTACCAACCACAGTAGCTCTGAAAAGTCAAGTCAGTTGGAGAAAGGCTGCTAGGGACAGACAACGTGGAAGAACTCGAATAGTTTTTTGAGATTTTTTTTTATTTCCATTTCCTTTTTAAAATACAGAACCCTATTCTTTTTTATTTTATTAAAGAACAAGGGTGGGTTCATTAAAAAGGAAAACTGAACAAGAAAAAAACAGGAACACCCACATTTCCAACTCTATCTCCTCTCTCAAATTGCGTAAGATGCACACATGTTTATTGTATGTCAGTAAACCTAGCTCTTTCCACACTGTTATCAGAGGTTGACACTAAACTACCAGGTAGATTTTGTTCCTTTGATTTAAATTCAAATTCCATTCCAACAAAGCAACCGAAACAACTAATGTCTAGTTTTAGCTTCTGGGAAATTAGGTTCTCCAGGTAAGAAAGGAAAATAGAGAATAAACGGTGTTGTCATCTTTGTTGAGAAAGTCAGTATTGTCAGCAAAACGGGGCAGAGGCAGAAAATCTGGGTTGCAGGACTGGGAAAAAGGAGTGTCCATCCCACAGGACACTTATGAATCGATCACTGTGACAGCAGCCCTTTATGGAGGTAATAATGTCATTAGGTTGTGATAATTCTCCAGAAACTCCAACAGCCCCGGATTAAGAACATCTGGAAATTGTTTTGATGACACAAATTTCTGTTTCTTGTTGTTAAGGCTTCCATGATACCTTTCACTCTGCCACCATTTTCATTTTTCTTTGCAAACCTCCTCCTTTCAAATCAGGAAGTACACATAAAGTGCAAGTAAGATTCATCCCCTCCTCTGTGCGCCTAGGCTCGTCTTGATAGCCAGTATTATCAAATCTATCAGTTAAAGCACTGGCCAACTAGGATGTCTGCAGGGATTTCTGGAGTGAGCAAATAAGTTCTTCTGGCAAAGAGAGCATCTGCAGGTCAGTGCAGTCTTGGCAAGAAAACACGAAGTACCACGCGTAAGACGGGGATGGGAACGATGCAAGCAGTAGGGGAGTTTGTTGTCACTGAAGAGGCCATCTTTGGATCTCAACTGTTAAAGCAAATTCAGGAACTGTTACTAAAACGAACAAGGCCAGTGACCTTCAGAGCACAGTCAATCTTCAGTGAGGGCAGATTCAGTTTTTCCTGGGGTGGGGACAGAAAAGAGAAAAAAGAGGGTAGGGAGTCAGATCTGATGAGTTTTAAGTCACAAATGTCACAAAAAAAGCCTCCACTAAACACTTCCCATCTTATACAACAAAGTAAAGCCTCTTGGTAGAGCTTTTCGAAAGCTGTTTTCTTTGGTGTTGGATAGGTACACAGTCCAAATGGGTTATGAGTTAGGCAACAACAGGATCTCTTAGAGCCTTAATGTGATGTGGCAACAAGCACTGTGACTCTTCGAGACAGGGATATAGTATGCAGCATTTCCCACACTGTTGGGATAAGGAATTTACCTTTTCATAACCAACTTGGCAGGATTAATATTTTAATGCCATATATTTTGGGAAATGCTGCCTTACGATACTAGTCGGAAGGAACAGGAATGGTGTTGAGTCATATTCAGCTTGTATTACGTGAACCCTGCTTTTATATTGAGAGTTACAGTCTCACCCAAGTTATAATAAATTAGCCATTGGAACTGGGTTCCATTGTATTTCCTTTGCAATGTGCCAAAATCTTGGGCAAAATATTATGTTTGACTGGTTAACATTCATGATAAAAAGTTAATTATTTCCCATCTATCATAAACCAACATACAATCAGTGGGCATTCTTTGGGGCTGTCCTTTGCATTTTTTTCTGATTTTTCTAAGAAACGTAAGGCCGAGCTTTCAGGATTAAACCCATGAAGATATTATATAGGAAGCTAAGCCATAACCAAGACTGGACAGAGTATATTAGAAAATATGTAAAATTAAATAAAAATCAAGGATTGACTTGATTAAAAATGACAGACAATTATCAAACATACTAGTTAAATTCCTGAATTTCTTTTTGGCTTCTGCCCTTTCTTCAGCATCAAAGTACCAAACAGTCATCGCGTATCTGTGGAAGATAAGCAGGTATAAGAAAAGAGGTTTAATAATACTACGGAAAAACCAAACTTCCTATAAATCTCACACTAAAGTCATTTGTAAGACCAACATTTAAAGTTTTCCCTCTTATTAAAAGTCTACCCCATTTAATTTCATTTCTCTGCTTTTAATTTTGTTTAACTGTATTAAACACATAAGAAGTTCCAGGTATGTGCCAGGCATTACCCTGGGCATTGGAAATTCAAATGATCCTGGGAATAAATCTTCATCCTCCTCAAGCATCTCAGGCACAAGCAGGGGAGACAGGTGATTAAACATGTAATGCAACAGGTAAAGTTGACCTATACAGAAAGGACTGGAAGGAAGCAACTCTGGGGCATCAAAGTTGGTAGAGGAGCACAAAGAAGAGGAGGTGACAGTTCCATGAAGCTTTTAAGAATAAGTTATTTAAATCAAGTAGATTAAAATTCTTGGCTGGCTTTCTTAAGTTTTGGACATTGAAGCAAAGATGCAATTGAATAATAATGCCTTCAGGCTTTTTACTGCATTCCCACTAATTTGCTTTATCCTGTCCATGGGATAGACTGTAATGGGAACAAAACATGCTTGGATTTCTTTAAAGTTTCATTTTATAATTATTATTAGATACCGGAATTTCCATAACACTGATTTTTTTCAAGGGCTTCCCATCAACATTTGCTAATGTTTTCCCTGTGCAGTCAGTCACCCAGGGACTGGGGAATAACCGGAGAATTCTGCCACAGATGACAGGGTCCAATTATTGTACTCCATGAAATAAGTCACAAGCAGACTTTGGTGGTAGAATTAGTTACCTGCTTATCTAGAACACATTCCAGTTGGTAGTTAATATACAACTTTGTTGGGGCTCAGATCTATGATTTCTGGAGGCCAACATAGGTGGTTTTAAGTTAATTGGACTTGTCACGGTTTAGTCATCATCCTACCAAAACTCTCTTCCTGCCCCCTAGTGCTATTCCCAACACAAGCTGCACCCACAGCACACCAATACTGCCTGCTATACAGCTTTGGCCATAGACAAAGGTAAATCCGAGGCAGAATCAGAAATTAAATTTTTTTTCAAGAATTCCTAGATTAGCTGGGCATGGTAGCTCATAGCTATAATCCCTGCATTTTGAGAGGCCGAGGCAGAAGGCTCACTTGAGGCCAGGAGTTTAAGACCAGCCACGGCAACATACAAGATCCCATCTACTAGATCCCTTCTACTATAAAAAGTAGAAAAAAATTAGCCAGCCGAAGTAGCGAGCCTGTAGTCCCATTTACTCAGGGGGCTGAGGCAGGCGGATAGCTTGAGCCTGGGAGTTCAAGGTTGCAGTGAACTATGAGAGCGCCACTATACTCCAGCCTGGGCAACAGAGCAAGACCTTGTTGCCAAAAAACAAAAAAAATTCTACATTGACAATAAAAAATACCAAATTGTTCGATTATTCTGAAAGTCTTCATGTGCACACACTACAGAAAAGATTGTTTGGGATTGTTGGGACCCAGATACACCAAGCCCAAGTCAATTTCAGGCTAAGGAAAGGGCGAAAAGGAAGAAAAGTCAGAACGAATCACTTTTTTTTCAAAGTTCTTCCTCTGCTTGCAACGGGCAACTTGTAAACTTGTCCAAAGTAATCAGACGAAATTCCTGATACGTGATAGCCAACAGTCTCTGGGAGTAGATCAAAATTAGATTTTTTTAAAAAGGTAGGAGAAGGGAAGAGGGCAGGGAAGGAAAGGAGAAAAGAGAAAAACACTCAGACGTTTGGAATCCAATATGCTCACCTAACAGAAAACAATTTATTAAGAGTTGTTTCAAACCTAAGTTAGGTTTTGTATACTAAAGAATCCTGTTTCCCGTTTAATTTTTATCAATTCCCAACAGGTTTGCTCTCAACTTTGGGGTGCAGTCAGTCCCTGATATGCACGGGACACCAGTTGAGAGAGTTCTCTGGGAACTGGGGTTTGTACGATGAGCCCGGGCTGTTACCTGGTCGCATAGGAAGGCTGGACTTCATGTGGGTTCCTGCGATCTGACCAGAAGAACAGGAGTCTGTCAAAAATGGGCTCCACGTCTGCTACGAATGATTTCCCTTCTGGAAATATCCTCAGGATCCCACCATGTAGCTGAGGGCCACAAACAAGGATAGATTATTTCCTGGCCTCACATACAGTGTACCACCAATGACATTGCAGCCCCATCTACAAACAATGCCATCTTCTAAGCTCTACTCCAAGCATATGTTACCCCTAAATTTTTACTTCAATCTTATACTTTGTACCAAATTTTATTTCAAACTTGCCTAACGACATCTCTTTATTCACTCATACCAAAAAAGCCTCCCCAGCCCCCACAGTCATGAAGCCCATAGACACAGACAGAGCACTGTTAGACTGAATCATACAGAATTGCCAGTATTTGGCTGGTTTTGACCTACAAAAAACCCCAGGAATTTTATATGGTTCCGTCTATATTAAAAACTTAAGATAATCATCACACATAACTTTCCCTTCAATTAGAATTTACAGCTTTCTTCAGAACTCCCTTAGCTGCTATCTGACCTCATTAGCTGGAAGTTATGTCTCTTTTTTCTAAACTCTCAGACCACCTTATCTGTACCTCTTAGGACATATATTACTCTCTTCCTTACATTATTTTTTTTATATGTATACCTAATCTTTCCTACTAGATGACCATATTTAGGCCTCACACATCCATGTTTCCCCATAGCACAATGCCTGACACTAGCAGGAACTCAAATATTTGTTAAATGATTTCATACCTTGCAATTTTATTATTTTCAACCTGATAACTTTTCTCTCTTGCTTACCACAGCACTTCGAAAGAATCTAAAGGAGACTCTGTGGATGTATTCCAAGTCATGCTACCAAACAGGGAGAAGAGACAGCCTTTTCCTTGATTCACTGGTTTCCTAGGTTTTATTTTTTCTGACCCCAGATAAAATATTATTGCTTAATGACAGTTAGTGTTGGCCCTAATGAACTTCAAATGGAGATGCAGAAGGTTCAAAAGCCAAATAAGCTGGAAAAGTTCTGTGACTTCCCAGACTCCTAAATCATTCTCATCTTTCAGAAAGCAAACAAAGTCCAGAGAAATGTTTGTGAGCATGGAACCAGACTTTATATCTCTATCTATATGTTCTATAATAAAAAAATAAGCCACAAAGCCTTTGGCATTCGCAAACCATAGTAAACTGTGGCAAGCAGCCATCAATGAGACATATCACCCCAAGAGAGGAGATTGTGTGGGAAATCTGTCTTGGGGATGGTTTTATATCCTACAGTTCTATTTTCACGGAATTTTCTCAGTGTAGCTTCTGGAAGTGGAAAGTGTAAATCCTATTCTGTGTTGAGAGCCACATCAGCTCTGAATTAGACAAAAAAATTTGATTCCTAATCCTAATATTAAATTACCTTTCCTTCATCAACCACCCTTCCCACACCTTAATAATCACCTTACCTGCCCCCCCAAAATTAACTTCAAATCCATTATTTTCATCTCATCAACTTTAGCACTAATTTCACAGAGGGGAGGAAAAGGAAAATAGGAAACAGAGGAGATTCATCAGTAGGAGAGGGGCTATTATGAACTCAGAACTCTCTTGTAAGTTATCTGAATTCTTTTCCTATAGTTTCTAACCCCGCACATTACTCCCATTGTTCCAAAGTACCTTGGCATCCCAATTCTTGTTCAGATAGTAGATGCAGGTGATGCAGCGGCCATCACCGTTGGGGTTGTCCACATGGCGAACATAACCTGTTCCATTTCCTGGGTAGCAAGCCACCATTGCCTATGGAGAAATTCCAAGAAAGCTGGTTAACAAAGCTATGACAATCTCTTCCTCCCACTGGTGCACACACAAATGACACAGTCTCCATTGGTGCTACATGACATTTATAGGTGGCTGCTGGCTTCTTAACTACACATACAGTATGTAAATTTGGACTCTTCAGTGTGTAAGATTAACAGCCAGGTAGCACCTTATGGCTCAGCCCTGTGGAAACTGGTTCAACAATATTCCCATAGTTCTAGAACATTTTAGACAGTCTTTCTTAAAGTAATCCATCTCTACGTCATCATTAGCACATCCTTTCTTCAATACTCCTTTTTTAAAAACCAGCTTCTGGGTTACCATCCCAGACCCCTAAAATCAGAATCACTAGGTGTGGAGCTTAGGGACTATGTCTGTTTAGTAAGTGCCCCTGAATCTCTGAATCACTAATGCTGCTTGGGAACAATGTCTAAGGATTTACTTGTCTACTTGTATTTACAAAGAGACAGAACCAATCACAAAGGAGAAAAAGATCATGCTTATTCCATAAAATGCTTAGGATAGAAGGAAGAGAAAAGGACCAATAGGAAGCTGCACCCCAACCTGTTAGCACAGACAAGACCAGGAGATCTCTTTCAAGGAAAGAGCCACTGCATATCTTAACATGTGTTTCTTTCTTTTTTCTTTTTTTGAGACAGAGTCTTGGTCTGTTGCCCAGGCTAGAGTGCCATGGCATCAGCGTAGCTCATAGCAACCTTAAACTCCTAGGCTCAAGCGATCCTTCTGCCTCAGCCTCTTGAGTAGCTAGGACTACAGGCATGCACCACCATGCTTGGCTAATTTTTTCTATATATATTAGTTGTCCAACCAATTTCTTTCTTTTTTAGTAGAGACGCAGGCTCTCGCTCTTGCTCAGGCTGGTCTCGAACTCCTGAGCTCAAGCAATCTGCCCGCCTCGGCCTCCCAGAGTGCTAGGATTACAGGTGTGAGCCACCGTGCCGGACCTTAACATGTGTTTCTTAATGCTAGTCCTCTTCTTACCTGATAATTATCAAATCAGGTGATAATCTCAAGCTCTCTTTCTTTATCTAAGTCCTACCTATATCAACCAGGTAGAGGAAAAAAGCCAAAAGCCATAACAAAAATCCTACTGAAAATTACTATTAGAGAATAACAAACTTCTAATTTTTCCATTGAAAAATTACAACAGAGAGTAGGGAAAAAAAGGCAAAGTACAAAAAGCCAGTTCTCTTCTTCACAGAACACTGCCATATTTTAAAAAATCCTTTTAAACAAACAGGTATGGTGGCTCATGCCTGTAATCCTAGTACTTGGGGAGACTGAGGCAGGAGGATCACTTGAGACCAGGAGTTCAAGGTTACAGTGAGCTATGACCGAACCACTGTACGTCAGTCTGGGTGACAGTGTGATACCCTGTCTCAAAAAATATATATATTTTTTTCTATAGGGAAGCAATACATATAGGGAAGATGATGGCAAGATGATGGCAAGATGAGGACAGGATTTTTTCCCGTGTTCTTTTCACAGAGGTATTCTTAGCGCCTAGAACCGTGCCTGACACATGGAAGGTGTCCATTTAAAATTTGACGAATAAATCAATGAATTAGTGACTAGCTCTTTCTCTAAAGGGAAAATTCACATTCTACTTAGATCAATAGCTATTTCTTTCATTTTAAAAACCTATCTTCAAACATACATGCAGGATACATGCAGGGATCCAGGCCATATATTCCCTGATAAATGGCAGGGCTGCTTCCCTGGTAAAATGACCGGTAGCTGGGAAGAGCCCCAAACTCATGCACTAGTGGTTCAAGGAAGCAGCTTCAGTGCAGCTGCCGAGTCACTTCCAACAGTACATGAAAACATAGAAGTAGGCATCACACACTTTGCATACCAGAACAACACGGCTGAATGGTAACTCGGCTTTAATGATTTTAAAGCTTAAATCATCATATCTCTCACACTTTATATCCTCATGCAGCTAGCAGTCCCCATATATTGCCTTTGAACGTCAAAAATGTCAATGCAATGTCATCCTTAGAGCTGAAGTCAGGCTGTTAGCGTGAACATCTTTCAGAAAGTGAAATTTTGAGGTGACTGTAATAAAGATTTAACAAATGATGGTCCAACCAAGCAAAAGGTGGCTTAGGGAAAGGTGATTGGTGGCAGACAGATGATGGGCCTTGCTGGAGAAAAAGAGATAAATGAAGTCACCTATAATGACTAGGGAATTATCCATCCCTGGAAGCAGCTATTAGGATTATAAGAGCCACCACAGAGCCAATAATGAAAGTCACTTAAGCCACACAACAATTACAGGCTAGATTTCCTACCATCTCAGCCTCCTCCCCACCCCCCAACTGTGTGTCTGAAAAGAAAAAGTACTCCATCAATGCTATAATCTTATATTCTTAAACAGCTCTACTCTAAGGAAAAGGTCAGTGATCTGGACGCCTGCCATCTAGTTCACTCTGCAACTAATTGCTTGGTCCCAGGATCAGTTTCTTTCCTATAAAGAGGGGTTTGGCCTACGCAGCCTCTGAAGGTTCAAAAACATCTAAGACTGGATCTAAGCATCAACCTCAGAAAATACAACAGAGTCCTTCAGGGCATTATGAAGTACTCCTCTGCCTCAGAATTCAGCTCGGATTAAAATATTGAAAAAAAATATAGATACAAACTCACAAAAGCACATCCTCTACTAAATGCTCCATCTATAAAACACACACATAGAGAAAGAGCCAAGTCCAGAGGACTTGACTATTAGAACAAAACCCCTGAGTGTCAGCAAAGTACCTGATTGCGTAAGGGAGAGAAACAGAGATAATTTTTCTGGCCAGAGTGAATATTCACCCTCTCTCCTAGTTCCAGAAGCCGCATGCAGCATGTCTCAAACAATGGAAGGAAATCATTGCGAGCCTCAGTGGGCCTGTTGAAACTACGCTGGGCCAATTTTATCAGTGTGTTTGCTGGAGGAGTGCCACAGGAGATGGGTCTTGGCTTGGGCACATTCCCAACTATTTGCTGGTCTTGCACAGGGTCTAAAACCAAGAGGCCAAGGATGCACTGAGAAGCAAGCCTCGCTTCAATAACTAGCCATTCACTTCTGTGCCAATTCGTGCACGGGGCAGTAACAACCTCCGGAAACTGATCAGTTCAACTGAGTTGCTATCTAAACCTCATCAAGCCTGGGAAGGGATTTAGACTGTGTCACAGAGGAGAATACTTCAATGCCCTATTGTTAGGAGAACAGGGCCAGAGGACTTTAATGATCATATAACAAACACGCCAAGCAATAACACTGACACATATCAGGAGGCTGTCTGATTTATTATAGGCTGTTCGTTTACTAAAACTTCCTGACTAGTATTTGAAATTTACAGAAGTTGAAAAACACAATAGTGTCATCTATGGTAGCAAATACAGTATAGTCCCCTATAGTTCTATTCTTGGAGATGCAGATAAATCCACATATCCCTGCATTTTCACCTTTCCCTCCACTGATCCCATAGTGTCCCCACCCCACCCGACCCCATTGCCAGAGGCCTCTCCGTGGCTCTGTGGCAATAGGAAATAAGCAGTGGGGTGAACCCGGGGTTACTGGGCTGGCTCTAGACCAGTATATGTGCTCTAGACACCTATGCAGCCACGTTCAGGCAGGAAATACGCATGTATTCTTTGAAGATGTACACAGATACATAGAACTATAACAGTCAAATCCCGGTATAAAAACCTACTCCCCAGATGCCACAGGTAGAAAAGAAAACGTTCTGTTACAGTTTTCAGTAAGCTAACTTCATAAAAATCTGTACCTCATCAAGTGCACAGATAAAGTTGAAAAATAAAAGTCTAGGATTTCCTTTCCAATGCCTAAACAGAAAGCTCTTGAATACGATCAACCACAGCTTGTTTGCACGTAAAAACCATCTCAAAACATTGGCATCAGCAACCTCCATTGTCCACTCAGCAACAATGATTTTTCTTAGCACAGGTAAGAAAGGTTAGACTCACCACTTCTCTAGTAAGTCACAACATGTATTTTATATTGTCCATGACTTTGGAGTCAGATTTGACAGTATGACTGGATCGTGAACAAGTTATAATAAAGTGGCATTTTATGCAAATGTTCACTCAGCAAATAAAAATATTAATCAAGTCTCACTTTATATGCAAAATTTGGAATAAATGAAAATCTATTCTTTAAAATCTGTCAATAACAGCACAACTTCAAAGCTATCTGGCTGAATGACCTCTAAACTGGTACTTTGATCAACTGACAAATGCTAGACCCCCTCTAGCTGCTAAGCAGAAATACCAGCCCACCTTTGTAAGGATTTGCTTTGAATTAAGAATGGTCTTGAACAGAGCATATTTTGAATAAAATGCAACCTCAGTACAGGATAATCTGCACTTAACTACTTTACACATTGGTTTGCTCATTTGTAAAATGGGTTCATGAGGCCTGAAGGAGATAATCTATGTAAAATGCTTAGTGCCAGACCTGATACACACTAAGTGTTTAATAAATGTTAGCTATTTTTAAAGTCAATAATGTGGCATGTCTGTCTTCCCCTCAACTGGGGCTTATAGAATGTCTCTCCTTCAGGATCCAATTATACGTAAAGTGCTTTGTAGTTTCCAACCCAGGGTTGGAAAACTAAAATAAGTTTTGACACTTGGCAGTAACATAAAGGATTGAAGCCAATCAGGTATACATGTGTCAGAACTCTGGAGTGTGTGCTATGCCACCTACACCAGGGGATTTGCTGACCTTTTCAATGAGGGCAAATCTTCAGATTCTACAAGAGTAGCAGGCAATCAGATTTTTATGTAAACTCTCCAAAATATCATTGATCCCAACTTTTCAATCAGGGCCACAGAAAAAATATGTATCAGTTTGTACTTTGAGGTAGATCACTGTCTGAGGTCTCCCAAGAAGTCAAGCTACTTTGAGATAGTTCCTGAGGGGGAGACCGTCCCCATCTCTCTTCACCAGG